CAGGTGAGCCGGACCCGCTGATGGTAAATGAAGTCGTCTGCGGTTGCAGAGAGGTGAAGGGGAACCAACCAGCCAGAGCCTTTGAGCTCCGGAGTGCCACTCGGGAGGCCAACAGGTGCCGTCCAGCGCTTGGAACGTGATGTACCAGAATGATCTCCTCTTCAGTGTGGAGGCAGACAGCCCGACTCGATGGCCTGTAACGCGGGGACTGATACGAAGTCTTGATAGTTGTAGGCGAACACTCTCTGTATTCCTTAAGGGAGTGCCTGGACAGGAAGGAAAGACAAGTTGCAGCAACTCGGGTTCCCAAAGAAATAGGGTTTGCTGAGATTGGCACACGGGGAAGGAGTGTGTTGGAATGCCGGGGATGCATGGCACGTGGAGTGCACAGTGGAGTCCAGGTTAAAGTCTATCCTGTTGAATACAGTCTCCAGGGCTCCCAGAATCCCATGATGCCTTTGCTGCCTCTTTGACTGGTAGCCATGACTGGGAGGGAGAAGGGAGGAAGGGTCTTATAGGGGGAATGCAGGGGTGTCAGGCATGAGGATAGAAGGGAGGATGGCATCGTAGGTAAGAGACAAAGAGGCCATGCTCGATATCAGGTCTATGACTTTGAGGAAGTTCACTGGGGCTGTGAGGCATAAACTGCATAGGTTAATTGCTTGCCACAGGCTTAACCAGCGGTAGCTCTTGATATCAAGGTTGCTGGGCTCCAAAGGAGCACACACCAGAGAAGGGTTGGGATCCAGAACCCAGGTGGTGGTTTTGAGGATAGAGATGAAGCAGGGGGACTCTTACCGAGAGAGTCCTGCAGAAGAGGCGAGGAGGCTCGCTGCCCTAAAGATGAAGACACTTGAGAAAGCTGGTCTTTTCTGTAAGTCGAAGGTGAAATCTGCTTAAAGTACCCTGTGGTATTCAGAACCCAGGTACCCAACAGGGTTTCTCTCTAGGGCTTCTTAGTGCCCCGTTCGCCCCTTTATTCCAGGCCTGGGTCCTGGGGGTTATCCTAGGGCATTTCAACACATTTCAGGGGCTGGTGACCTTTGAAGATGTAGCTGTGTACTTCTCGGAGAACGAATGGACCAGCCTGGCTCCTACGCAGAAGGCTCTGTACCGGGATGTGATGCTGGACAATTATGGGGCCGTGGCTTCCCTGGGTAAGGGTCCCTGCCTCTGCCCTTCATTTTCCAGGCTCTTTCCTCCTCGGAGGTCTAAGACATTTATCCGTCCCACCGGGTGTTTTTGCCCCGATTTTTTTACTTCAAAATAAGATATGTGCAGTGTGCATAGGAATTTGTTCATAGATTTTTAAAAACTATAGTGCAGCCCTCCAACGGGTCTGAGGGACAGTGAACTGGCCCCCTGTTTAAAAAGTTTGAGGACCCCTGGTCTATGTGTTTTTTGTAATTCCTTCATTGAACGATAGCTTTAGGCCCTTGGATTCTTAATGACCCCATCTAATGGTTGCTGAGAGGTGGGAAATCCTGATACCAATTTGGGCCTCACACAGGACTTTCTCGAGATGCCGGCTTCCGCACCCCACCCCTGTTCCATGTGTGCAACCGGAAGAGGAAAGAGGACTCCCCTGGGTTTCTCAGTTTCCAACACCACGCTTTTATAGGGGAGACCCTGGCCCAACACTGAACATCCTCATACAAGTCTTGAACTTGAGAGCTCTAAGAGAGGACAAGACAGCTCAGTCCCTCAACAGGGAAACAGGAAAGGTCCGTCTCCTCACTGAACCCGCCACTGAGTTCCTCTCCCCTGACTGTTGTGTGCATTTCCTGGCCCTCGTAAGCCTCTTGACCTTCTGCCCTGGATCTCCTGCCCCCAGTTATTTCCCACGCTTCCCTTCCTGCCCCAGGAGACGCAGCCCTGGGAGGAGCCCTGGGACCGCTCTGTGTGGTTTTGCTCACTTGCTTGCCCCATTTGTTTCTCCTCAAGGAGCCCTTCCGTTTCCCAAGCCACCCCTGATTTCCCAGCTGGAACGAGGAGAAGCACCTTGGCGGTCAGTTCCTCGGGGAGCTCCGGATGGAGAGGGCCAGAGGGGCACCTGCTCAGGTGAGTGAGGGCACGAGTGCCAGTCCGACACAGTCCCCTTGTGGGGATCTTTATAGTGTCCTAGGTATGTCTTCCGTTAACCCGATGCTGTGGGTGCTGGTGGAGTTCTCACTTTTCCTCTGTGGTCCCTCAGTCCTTGACTCCTTGTTTGATTCAGCCTGCTCTCTCCTGGCTCCCTCGGCATCTTCATGCGCCTGGTTTGCCCCCTCCACAGCATCTCTGCGGTTCTCAAGACGGCCACCCTTTATCTTTACTCCCCGACGTTCCTGTTGACTCTGGTCTGTCGTGGCCTTTCCACTTGCTATTGTCTTCCTGACTCTGCCCTTGGCGGGTCATCTCTGTCATCACAAGTTGAAAAGTCAACAGTTCCTGTTCCTCGGGGTTTGCTCTGGGAATCCTTAAGGCTTTTCTGCTTCTAGTTTTCTAGTGAGACTTGTGTCCCCCGACTCCCTCCATGGCCCCGTCCCATCTTCTTTATCCTCAGACTTCTCTCTACAAGGGACTTAGGGTGCTTGGTCTCAGTTTCCCATTGTCCCAGTTGTTTACTGCACCTGGAAATCTTTCTGTATTAGAGTGTGGTTGGATACATGTAACGGAAAAGCCGCTCAAGCTGACTTAAGCCATAAAGAGGAATATACTATTTCATGTCGCTGGATCTGTATAGATAGAGAGGACTACAGGTACCATTGGATCTGAGCTCTAGTCTCCTTTCTGCCCCCTTGTCTGTCGATTCTGTCCATAGTCTGGCTTATGGTTACAGAGCTTTTGCTAGTTTTTGGTATTCACTGCTTTGTTTCCTTCTCCATACTGTTGGAGAGAAACAGTGCAGGTTTTCCTTAGCCTTTAACCATTGGGAATCAGTCCCAAGATTACTCACGAAGGGCCAGCTTAAGCCATATGCCAGCTCTCAATCTCTGTGGCCAGGGAAATACTGTGCACTGATTGACTTGTTCCGAACCAGTTACCACTAGTAAATGGGATGGGCCTCACCTGATTGGTCTCTGCTAGTCAGGCCCTGCCCTAGCAGCAGGGCCTACACCCCACTGGAGGATTCCAGCGGATGTTGGGCGACAATCACGTGCCTCTC